AAATGAAGAACTGATAACATTTTTGGGAAAGCAGGTCAGCAGTTTTGAAGATCTAATAATAAAGTAAAAAATGCCATGCATCACTAGTTTGGTGATAAAATAAACGCGTTATTGGAATGTTTTTGAAGAATAAAAGAACTGTATATCAAAAGCTGGAAAAAATTTTAAGGAATATTCATGAGCAGACAAAGTCAAATGAGTAAAAAAAAGACCAGAACCAGGAATCACTATACTGTACAATTTTAGAAGAAGAAACTAGATTGGACTCATTTAAAAATCAGTACCTGTACAAAAAATTATTTAAGAAAGAGATGAGTTAAAAATTGAATAAACAATATTGTCAGTCAGTAACATCACAAACATTTCATAAATCCAATAAGAGTTATAAATGATATGTAATATTTTTCGAATGATATCTAATCTATATGATTGTGAAAATAAATACATCAAAAATGAACTGTGAACATACAAAACTTGTAATAAATTGTAAACCAGCGAATATGAATATGAGAATATGGATTTTCCGGTATGAATAATCTATGTCAATTATTAATTGACCCATTAACAGCACACGGTTTTAAAATGTTATATAAAATAAACAATATAGACAAATTTGGTAAGTCTATTGAAATTGTCATTAACGCGTTGTATATGAACAAATTAAAGTTATTGTAGAATATGTATTTAATATATGAATATTAATTCAATTTATTTTAATAATACTAAATCAATTCGGTATTCCATAACTTATAATTCATTTTTTATGCTCGGAAACTTATTTAAGCGACACATACTCTTACGAGAAAAGCGTGATAAAGTGCTAAATAGTTATGAAAATATAGAAACAGGGCCTTGTTTTTTAATTTGACATGGCATCATAAAAGAATTTAGTTTATTAAAAAGTAATCGATAAATAAATAATGACCTCGATGTTGTGACTAATAATTTTAACACACATTCTGACATACGAAATGGGGCATGGAAATGAGGGCTCAAGAAACAACACCCCTAGCCAAATTATACATATAAAAATAAAATTTTGCACAATAATACATTGCTAGCATGTGAAAAATTATTTAACTATGGTATTTCTAATTAGAATATGGTTTACATACTTTGCAATGTCTAAAAAACCTCAATTCGTTTGATGAAACCAAAAAATCAATACATTTATTCAATCCTGTGAGCTATTACACCGGGTTAGCACAACACTTGCACAAATTGTTCAAATTTAAATTATATCACATTTGTCTACAGTAATTATATATTTACACATTTTCACAGAAACAGATTAAATAATTAATTTTAAAAACTATGGCACTTTTCCTGGATTATTTAAATAATACTACTACCGTTTTTGACAGATAAGTCTCGTTGGGTTCTGCATCGGCCGCGCCCTGAGCTCTATTTTATCGACAGGTGTGAAGTTATATGTGTATGTTAGTCACGCTCGGCAACGTGCAAAAGAGCGGTAAATATGAAGTTGCAAAATTTAAAATTATGTCATTATTTTATGAAAGTGTTGCATGCAATAGAAATGAAATATATTTATATTATTCATAGAATACAATTGTGGGGCAGTGCTCATAAGACTAATATAGAAATAATACAGAAACTTCAGAACAAATTTTTGAAAATTGCCTTAGGAGCACCAAAATATTGGCTAATTCATCTCGACACAAACACACCTACCATAAATGATGTAATAACAAAAACAGCGCATAAATATAGAAACAAGCTCATCAGTCACCCAAATTCACTAACAAACTCCTTGATAACAGAGAACTATCAAAGAAGGTTGAAAAGAAAAGCGCCACTAGAAGTCATCAACTCTCCTGATAATAAATTGAAATAACTTAGTCATTATTTATGAGAAATTATTTTATAAGTAAATAGTTAAGATTATATAATTATCAATAAAATATTGTTAATATTATAACGAATGGGAAAACAACAATTGAGTTGTCCTTCCAACATGTCCCTATATAGCCGACTATTGTAAATTACACAAATTTTTAAATGTACTTAACTGGACAGTTGTAAATAGAATAGAGAATAAATATATATATATATATATATATATATATATATATTTATATAATGAGTTGTGCCTTTAGATATTTTCCGCTTAAAATTGTTATAGTATCAGTCTATTGAAATTATAATAAGTTTAATGATCACCTTGTAAAATTTAGATCTCGAATTGAACTTTAATGTATTCATTATTTCATTGTATGAATTATAACTTTTGATTTAAATTATGTAACTCAAAATGTACCTCACTTCTTTCTTTCCATTCCTTCAAATGTTATATAAAACTAAGATTTCTTACGTCCCCTCATCATATTGAAAAGCTAAGAAATTTGCAACAATGAACATAATAATTTTTAAACATTGACAATAATGGCATTATCAAAAATATGATTTAATAAAATACTTCAATATTTTTGATATATTTATATTTTTGTATCAAACACTTATTTACATGAGAATTTAGATGCAAAAATCAATATGATCCATAATTGAGCAAAGGATGCATCATATTATTAATGCAAATAAAATCTGAGATTAAGACTAATATATAGAATTAATTCATAAAATCGATTATCTCTAATAATTAAATATTTTTATATATAATATAATATTGTATAAAAACATAATTTTTTTCTCATATTTTTTGTCATCTACATATTTTTCTGAATATCCGTCGATATAACTATATACTAATTTATTTATAAATAACAAAGGCTTCAAAACCATAAAAGAAATTATAATTTTTATTTACAGGTAGACAATTAAAATTACGTCGAGAGTTATATGGCGGGTGATGTTTTAACGAATTTATATCTGGTCATAACTTTATTGGCTGTGTAGAATTTCTGAAGGCTTTCTAATTGCCCCTATAATCTGATCTTCAAAATATTGATCAAACGTACATATTTTAATAAAATAAAGAAAATTCTAATCAATCCAACATTCTATATCTTGTAAGACATTCTAAAGTACACTTGATGTTAATAATTAGGTGGCAGTATTAGTTATAATGTAAGATGTATTTCAATGACTATAGCCTATGCCAACTTCCAGAGGTGTGCAGACTTTATTGCATGTTTTCTGTTTTCCACAACTATATTACAGAATCTGTTGAGTTAGTTCAAAAAACATAAAACTGATCTTTGTAAATATTTCGGAACAAAAGTGATTAACGATTTTGTATATAGATTGTTTTTCACAACACTAGCAAAATTTATGTTGTACAAGAGTACAACAAATACAACTGCCAAGATCATAAAGTATCACATGTACATGCGAAAAGCCAAGAGGATAAACTAGTCTATAATAATGTGCTCTATATATTTAAATATATACTCGTAAACTCATTCCTTATACTATTGTATAAATTAGTGATGGGAGAAATTAGATTTTCATTCATTCTTAAATTAAATTTCGAATTTGATATATTCATATTTTTTAGAAGTAAATAATATTATAAACATACATTTCAATGTTAATATTGTAGAAACACATTCAATTTCTACATATAGCTATACTTTCCCATCAATAACTTAAAATATTTTCAATCTGACACATACTAGAAGCTTGAAGATATGTACATAGACAATGAAATGTGTTTACAGAAATATTTCATCCAGAAATACAAATTCAATAAAATCATTCTATAATTGGCCAAAAACGTAACGTTTTTTCAAAAGGCATTTTATATCTAAATTCACTTTCTCTCACGCATTCAAACAAAACTTAACTGCACTTATTATATATCATATATTTATATATGTTAATCTTTAATATTATTTACAAACATATATAAATATATGTATAAAAATTATTATAAAACTTAAAATATCTTCTGCTTACAACATATATTGCATATACATACATATAAGATACATATGTATATATTTAAGATACTATTAAAGGTCCAAATGTAATAAAAGAACAAAGAAAACTAGATTCTCGAATGCAATTTTAAAATTCTACAATTGCTATCCAATAAATATCAAGTTTTGTTTTATATCACAAACAGAATTTCATTGCCCTTGCTTAAGAATGTATGTACGGTTTGAGATAATATTGGTAATCTGAAATTGCTATTCATCTTGTTTAGCTTTGGCTTGTAAACAGACAATACTATTAAATTATCCTGCCTGTTTTAGTGGAGATCTGCAATAAAAGACAAGTTAGAAACATGCAAGTTATTTATAAGCACCTCGAAATGAGCATAAATAAGTTTATTGTGGAGAACGAAATGATTACGTTGAAATGACAATTACTAGTCATAATTTTATTTCAATTACAGGTTCATAAATAAAATAGAGAAAGGCCTCATAGTGCAAATCAAAATTTCTCATAAACTTTCAAATTCATTTTGTGTTAATTAGGTACTTCAAAGTAATAAAATAATTACAGAATATAGTAATTAGTACTATCTGTCCACATAACATTTGTGTCTAAAAATATGGAGTTTGTTCATTCTCCTAATATCCTACAATATTATTTAATAGAAATTAATAAATGATGCATAAGCAAATTACCTGGTTTATTATCAGAGTCACAACGTACAGTGTCAGTGTCGAGACTGATCCAGCAGCTCTTCTACACTCGCAAAGGCGCAAGAACCCAAACCGGTTTTAGCCATAAGTTGTAGCAGGTTCCAAGCATGACTCGTGGCAACTTCTAAGGGAGGGCTCCAAGGCAGGTCCATAGATTCTAATAAAAATAAAATGGTTATTAATTAACAAGAATGTCAGTCAATTTTTGTATTAAAACTTACCTAATATTGCAGAGTTTAGGGCTGCACAAACAGGTTCTCGTCGTGATGGGCTTAGTTGCCAACCCAAAGGACTCGCCCATGGATTTGAATAGGCTAATAAACTAAATGCATCCTAAATCAAAATAAATAATTAATTACCAAATTTTGAAGCAGATTGAAAGTATAAAACAAAATACAAAAAAATTAAAATAAATATATTAAAATACAGTGGTACCCTGATATACGAGATCAATTAGTTTCGAAACCATGCTCCTGTATGTCTAATCCCTCGTATCTCAAAGCATTTTTTGCCATAGAAATACCTTGAAATGCCAATAATTCGTTCCAGTGCTTTGGTTTTTGTTAAGTTTTTTATATAAAAAAATTTTTTGCTATTTATTATTGTTTTTTCCTATCCATTCTTGATATTGCGGAAATGAGTTAGACATGTTTCGTTAAACAACCCCCAAGTTCAAAGTGTTGCAACTTTTTCGAAGTGATTTTTATCTATAAAATTTTAGTGTTTAGAAAGCTGCTGTTAAATTACTGTGATGTTCTTGGGAATTATACCCATTATCAAATCCTTCTGTTTAAATCCTATGCATATCTATGATGTGTTACGCTCGTACATCCATACTATTATCAAATTTTTTGTTGGACCCATGGCTACAAATTTAAATAAATTGTTTGTAAATGTTTAAACAACCAAAAAAACGCAAAACCAACATATATAACTCATTGTTAAAACTCAACTGTACAATCACTATTAATGTATTGTTAAAATTTCAAAACGATAAAATAATCTATTGAATCATGAATATTGATATATTCATGTGTGTAAATTGATACTACGCAATTAATGTCAATACATATATGAAATGACTAACTGCCAAATAATTTACTATCATAAAACAATCAAATTATTTCTATGCTAGGAAAATCATTGCTACAACTGACAAACTTTTTCATGTCCTATTTTGCCATTAAAATCTTTCTCAAAAACTCTTACTCGCCCATAGATGATTTTGCTCATATGCCGCAGCAACGAATCGCTCCTTTGGCGACTCGTATTTCGAAACACTCGTATACCAGGTCGCTCATAAGTCGGGGTACCACTGTATATTGATCACATATTTGGCATAGCAACGATAATTGATTCATAGTTACACTGATGGAATTGTAAAACTACTTGTTTTACTTAAAACAATCATGTTTGCATTGCAGCACAGACATTGGAAAGATGACTAATATATTATATTATATTATATATTATATTATACATTTGTGTAGTATGTATATATTTGCATATAACACAGTTGTGTAATGGTGTACATTCTTATAAGATTCTGCTTTTAAAGTAGATTTAACATAGTATGAACTAATAAAATTATGTGTTACACATAATTGGTGCGGTACTACCATAAAAAGTTGAAATTTTCTAATTAAATATTTACCTCTAGCATTTTTTGATTATGCCTCGACGCTGTAGGATTATCCCTTTGTAACTTGTGTGATAATTGGCTAAGTTCCCTGCCGAATTCGAGCATTCTCTCTACGCCCCCTTTGTGTCCTCCGCAAACTTGACGGAGCCCCACGACGCCGCCGTTGTCGGAGATTTCTGTTCGTTCGGAGGAAAGCAATGTGAAATGTGGTTGCCACAAACCTGTTAGGGGGATTCATGTATACAAAAACATGTCGTTTTTGCTTCACTATATACAAAACACACACATGGCGCAAGAACAAATAGAAGATTGAGAGATAAAAGTCAAAATTTCTATAGTGCTTGGAATATATTAAATCAATGATGAAGAAACTTATAAGAAGTAGATTTTATTGATAAAAATTATATATAAATTAAAACCAAAATCAAAATCAATTAAAAACATTATTCAATGTTAGAAAAATAAATGATTTTTATGCTATTGTGCAGTGGACATATAGTTTTTATTACTATCGATGATGTTACGATTACATAAATGTTAATATGCACATACTTAAATCAATGTGCAGTAAAATGGATTTGAGCATGTAATCAATAGCATTATATATATATATATATATATATATATATATATATATAAATATATAAATATATACAATACTATTTTAATTGTATTTTGAAATTAATAAACAAGGGATATTAGTTAATTAATCGATCAACTTCTGAATTAGCATGTTTGAAAAGGATGCAATTAGAGAAAAATTAAGAAAATCATCAATATGACATTGGTCGAAATTGAAGTGAAGTCTAGATAAGTAAGAGAAATATATAAAAAAGTGCGCAGCCATGGTATGTATAGTGATGGACGGAAAAAGGAAAGGAAAGTTGGCATTTATCGTTCAACAGTGAGATTGTGATGATTGGAACAATGATGTACAAATAAATATGTATAAAACTAAATTAAAATATTGTTAATCAAACTATAAATAAATCTATTACAAACAATGTATTAAGTGCTCAAAATATTCTTTAGCAGAACATAATGTAATATTTCTTTTTTTAAAAGCATTAAATATCACATACCCATATCTTCACCATCGTCTTCTATTGTTGATTCTATTATTCTGGGAGGTATTACAGGTTTTGTCGTGCCATTTTGAACTCCATTTTGTGATACTTGATTACCATTTTGATATCCATTTGTTGTAGAATTTGTATTTGAACCTGTAAAAAATTAATATAATCTTGACAAAATCCAAAATCAAGGTTCTTTAATGCCTAATATATTTATGAATATATACCATTACTAAGAACACCATGACCATTTGTACCATCCATTTCTACATCACTATCATCATTATTTGAATTAGATACTGGTGAATTTACTTTGAATGGAGGCCCGCTACCATTTAAATTATTTTGATTAAGTTCTTCTACTGTCGTACCTTTGAACCAGAATTGCATAAATATTAAAAAAAAGGAAAAAAATTAAATATAACCACAAACTATTTAGTGACTTTAAAATGTTATTGTTAATAAATATTATGTACTTTAATAATAGATGTATCTATTTCACAAATAATCTATTAGTTATGAGAACATTATAGAAAGCTTACAGATGATAGATTCTAAAGTTCTGTGCTAATAAATAGCAATACTTACCATTTCTAGATTTAGTTGTATTATAATTTTTTGTAGATTGTATGACCGATGTTTGTACAGGACTCGGAGAACGCGGAGATAAAGGTCGGACTAAGGAAGGGGGTACTATAGGAAAACTGCTGCCGCGGCCCATACGAGTAGGGCAAACCTACAAAGTTAAATACAGCAATAAAATTATGTTATAATAACCACTCAATTTTATCTTAGCATACTTACTTCTGAATCTGAACCATTAACCATTTCTATAAATTGACGACACTTAAGCATAAATAATAAATCTGGATTTCTTTCTAATAAACCTGGATAATGTCTTATTGTACTTTCTATGGCTTCACCCATTCTACCAGCTAGAACTAATTTTAATATTCCTGCAACAACAAACAAAGAATAAAGAAAAATTCTTATATGTTATTTCACAATAAAAAATCTATCTGTACTTTGTCTAGTTTTTATTGATGTTACTTCTTCATCAAAAGCTTGCCCTGTACTTTGTGCAAAAGCTTCTGCTGTAGAACAATAACCATGATGAACAAGATATGAAGACACCATTCTAAAAAACGTTTTAACTTATTAACTAACTTATAATATTTGTTGATTATATGATAATCTTATCCAATATATTAGCTGATAAAAATATTGAAATATATACTATTCAATTACTTGTGTAATATATCCTGCCATTCTGAGGCTTGTGGTGTAATATATTCATTTATAGCTACTCTCGTCCTTGCTCTCAACGCTTGTAGCATATCTTCAATATCAAAAACAAAAGGTGATTGTCCAAAATTAGCATCTACTACTTCTCCAGGTGTTTGTAGGCCGACGGTCGGGTAAAGGTTTGGCTAAAATTGAAATAACCAATGTTACTGAAACGAGAACCGATTTTATTTGAAATGCCTTTAAATATCTGCCATGAAATAAAACTTTCGTTTTTATAAAATATAGGATGAGTTCAAGGAATGCTCAAATATTAAAAATTACCGGAAGATCTCGAAAAGCAATGCCTAGGTCGTGTCCGTTCTTCGTATAAAAGCAGGTATTATCAACAAGGTTCACACCACATCCAATGACATCTCCAGTAGTAAATGTAGGTCCGTAAGTTTGTCCAGTTCCCGATGAGCAGAAAGAATTTCCATCGTCGCCATGATATCCATAAGAATGTTTATCCCATCCTGAAAGAGGCAAATAGAACTACTTAATAAAATTAATCAAAATGTGAAAAATCTAAGTGTGAAATTTTTTATTTTAAACTATTATCTATATTCTATCTAAAATATTTAGACTGAACAAAATGAAATTGTAAGAAATATTAAATATTATTCTTGGTGAGCCCAGATCTAAGACTTTAAATTTAATTTAAGAATTTTATGTCAATTTCCACTTACCAGGTAGCCGATTCATGTTGACACCAGATGCCGATAGCCCGATTCCCATGTACCCATCACGGCCTTTCGAGACGATACGGACCTCGAAGTAGTAGAGACCGCAGGCGGCCGGTATAGGGTGCGTCGCCCGCACACTAGCTGCATCCTTGTGCGTTTTGCCGTGACCTGTGCCATATTAAAGAAAGATACTTCAACATAATAGAATAGCTTCGAGTGTTCACGAGCAATGGGGGTTGTTTAAAGATGTCTTATTCACAATATATAAGTATAACATATGCTTTTGTCAGTGCAAATTCCAGAATTTAAGGACGTAAAACTTCTGATTAAAAGTTTTCAACGCTTTTCAACTAAAGCCATTATTTCGAATGACCTTTTAAATTAATCACCGACTCTATTGTCTCTATAAAAGCTCCCACAATTTTGTGATACTCATATATACAGTGAAAATACTATGATATTGGGCAAAGAATCTATATATACAGAAACATATACAGATGTTATATACACATACACATATAAATACATATACACACATATAGGAAGGTTGCGTATAACGTCATAGTCACATTTGTAACCGAAGTGCTAATAAACCTGCGATCTTCGGAAAGAAGAAGAGCGAATGGTAATAATTAGAATATAAGTATAATTTCAGAGCGAGATAATAGCATTCTAGATCCTCCCCCCACGAAGTAATGCCCAACAGCGGTTTTCCTGAGGATCAGAGGCAAAAGGTAAGCGGATTATACCCAGGCAGTATTACCTGGCATACCCAGATAAAAGACCAGTCTGGGTGCATAAATGCATTTTCTTCACATACACATATATACATAGACACGCACAAACAAATACACACACATATAATATATTCATACATTTTATAAGTTATATTTGTCTCTATTACAAATATACATTAAGTTTATTCTTACTTTAATATCTCCAATTAATAGTAAATTAGTATGTTATTTACAGATCATATTCAATTATCACCAAGTTTATAATTATCCAATACCATATAATAAATGGAAATACACAAGTATTCACATTTGTTTGTTTAAAACTGCACTATAAATAACAGAGAGAGTTAATATTATGAAAATAAAAATTAGGTACGTCATTCAATTTCAATATTTGATTGAATATAACAGATTTATAAGAATTCAAATGAGATCATTCCCGTAAGAAATCCGTCTATGAAAAATATTTTATGGAAATGTAGCAATCGAGAAACATCGCATGGAATTTGAAATTTTATATTAACATATTCTGATCGAATGAGCTATGATGCATGTAATGAATTATTTATTGCACCTCCTGCTTGATGAAATACGAAAATAAATGAGTATTAATTGTGTGCAGAATTTTGAAGATTCAAATCATACAAATCATATTTAGTACCTTTGAAGCACAAATTTTTTATACGAACAACTTATTAGTTAAAACATAGTCAATGAAGGCCGCTGATGAATATTAATCAGGATTATTTTCCAATTCCAACCTTTTCCAAACAGTACAGTACTTCTAAAAGTGGGTAAATATGAAGTAATTAGTAAACGCCGTTATTAATTAGTATTGCAAGAAAAACTCGTTTTTCTATTAAATTGCATCAGCGATTACGATTAACGCAACATGTTAGAAACTATTGTGATAAAACCAATTTCATTTCAGTTCTGATTCATTAATATTTTAATATGCAATGTACGGTTTGGGGAACGCAAAATGGGAACAAAACTATTTGTTATATTTTACACTTAATATAAATTAAAAAAACATAGAATATTAGAACAGTATTAATACACCATTAAATTAGATTAGAACATAAACACAGTAGCATATAATGGGAAAAGATTTTCGTCTCTCATAATTTATTATCTCTGATATTAAAAAAATTAGAAATATATAAACGCGAAAAAGACTGCTGAACCAAAAATAAGTATACCGAACAGAGAAGCTAATAATGATTATTTATGGCCAAGCAAATAATATGTGGCTAAAATAATATTTCAAATGTAGTTTGAAGGTTAATAGACATTTATAAAAAATATGAAAATTTTTCATTATAGGAACAAGTTTTCAACCGAATTTGTAAAAATATAAAAAATTTGATAAATCGCGCAGCCAATTAATAAATATAGAAAACGCGCAAAAAAGACTAAAGACGATATCAATTACTAATTCAGAGGCATAGAACAAAAGCGACGAAAATAAGATTAATTCTTTTAATGAACGGAAAACAATTAAAAAACAAAACGCCCGACCCGTGAATTTCAAACCCCAGGTTTGCCAGGGGTGGGTTACCTGAGTCCCTGGGGCCGGGCATCAGCCAATACAAAAACCCAGGAAGCGGTATACCGCGTCCGTTATTAGAGCGACGACGAAGACGCCAAAACCGCGAAGCTAGAAATAATATCGACTCATCGTTAAATTTGAAAATCAACAGATAAATAGGGATCAATTATCTTAATTTTTAATGTTACCAACAAATAGAGTAATTATATTGACAAAGCCTTTTAGAACCCAGGATGGACGAAGCGTGGGAAGATGCAGTGATTAACACAGATAAAATTTATGATGAAGAAATGTATGAATAATGATCAGAATGCGGTAGCACATGATAAGAATATTTACAACTACTTAATGTTTAACTAAATTATTATACTTTGCCCATAAATATTTAATTTACCATCAAATTTTGGTTGTCTGTAACTGTGCAATGATAACTTCTATTTATTTTCTCACTTGTCTCTTAAAATTTCAACGATTATATTCCAATATTTAATAACAAAGTGCTTTAGATGCAATTTTGTACGATCTTTTAATTAATCTGATAATCAGTATATAAGGGTGATAAGATCCATGGAATGTAACCTGTACTGTATTTTGAATTTACCAAGTTCAAGATAGTTTATAGTATTGAATTTCAATAAAGTTCTCTAAATTTCTTTATTAAACACGGGGATTTAATTTAATAACGAATGCTCTTCGGAACGAATGAACAAAAACTCTAATACGATCAATAGTCAGTTTAATATTTCTTAATTATTTTTAATTATGGTGATATTTGTCACTTAAAACTTAAATCGATTGTATTCCAATATTTAATAACAAAGTGCTTTAGATGCAATTTTGTACGATTTTTTAATTAATCTGATAATCAGTATACAAGGACGATAATATGCATGGAATGCAACATGTACTATATTTTGAATTTACCAAATTCAAGATAGTTATACAAGATAGTATTAAATTCCAATAAAGTATTAAACTTCACTAAATGTCTTTATTAAACACGTGGATTTAAATTTAATATATTAAATTTAGAATGTTTGTTCATTCATTCAGAATCGTTAAACGATTAATATCAATGTGCTCTGCTAAATGAATAAACAAAAATTCTAACACGATCAAAAGTCAGTTTAATATTTCTTAATTATTTTTAATTATGGTGATTCTATCTAAGTAGAAATATTATTATAGTCATAATGATTGATCGTTACTAGTCGAGCTAAATTAAATTTTGCAATTGATATTGATGCGTACTCCCATATATATGAAGGACAATTGGTTCACTAGAAAAGTTGTGATGTCAGTGCCTATAGTATGAAACCAGGGTATTAAGTTTTTGGATTAAATATTTGTTCAAATACCGGAAAACAAATAAACATATAACGAAAGTGAAGAAATAACGTTTTCCCCCCGAAGTTTTCGCTGAAATTATATAATTGTTTATAAAAGTTTATAAATGGAAATTCATTACATTGAGTACTAGTAGATGTCATAAAAATGTTGATACCAAATACCAAGTTTGTAATGTAATAAAGAGGCATAATGAATTCTTGTTCAGATTATCAATTTTTTTGAAAATTGAATTAGTTTTAGATATTACTGGTTTGGAATTTTCATTAGCTTTTGTATTTAATAACAGCAACTTTAAGGATATCTTTTATTGCATCTCGCTATTCAAGTGTGTCATATATTGCACACATTTTTGAATAAAATAACGAACAGAAAAAGTCAAAAACAAACCATCTAAAAGCTTGCAACAAACATATACACTTTGTTAGTCACTTTGTAGTAATTTTACCTGAGGCATATCATATTAACATTATTTATTCACATTTAAATCATAAATTTCTTATCGACATTTACTCACAATTATTGTGACATAAAGATAAGACAACCTTACTTTAATTCTAGAAAGACTATATAAGACGCTATATTTAATATCCTTGTGGCATGCACGGATATAATTATTATAACTCAAAACATTCGCGGAATTGTGCCAACTGCAATGAGTTTGTTTAAAACCATAAAATATCATACGACGAGGTTCGCAATGAAACAAATCTTCAGTTGAAGTTCTAATCGTATTCATGGAAATTGTTGTGTTAGTACAAACATTAGTTTCGGTGATAACAGATTTTGCAATATAAATACACTGCAATGTTATGCCTGAGAATAAGATTAATTTATAATTTAAAACTACGAACCTTGAAAAAAAAACATAATAATAAAATTGATTAAAATGAAAGTTTGTCTAAAATAGAGAACATTTTTTTAAATTAGAAAAAAATTAAAATAAAAAAAATCCCAAAAGCAATCGTTTCGTCAACACAATCAGAAAGTTTTTTAAATCATTCAATTCGGAACTGTAACATGCCTTTGCCAAAAACTAATCATCTCCCTATCAATAGAAATCGATTGCTTTTTGAATTTTTCAAATCGGTTCATCCTTATGCCCAAAATCGTCGACGAAAAATTGTCTCCACGCATACACATAGACACACACACATACACATACACACACATCTTTTTTTCTGAGGTATGCTAAAATGTTCAGAAACCTCTGAAACGTGAATATGTGTCAAACTTTTCATTTTCGATTTTTGAACGATTATAATAACTTACCCTAAATTAATTAACAATTACAAGTATAATTAGTCACATAATAATAGAAGTCAGTAGTTAATTTTCTTCAATTATCTATATGCAAAAAAAACTTGTGCTATTGAGTAAATAAAACCGATTTTGAGAATTATTTTTATATTATTGTATTTTATTCATTTTGTTGTATTTTGGTCAAAATTATTTAATGTTACTTGATGTTTTATTAGTAATCGTAACAAAAATTAAAATTAAATACAAAAACTGACTTCAGAATTACTCTGAAAATGAACTATTTCTGAAATAAATTGGAACTTATTGCATGAGATAGAGTAGGTTTATCATCACTGATTTGTAGCCATTAGCTAATTATTGAAATGAAAATAGGTAGACACAAAAAAGAGTAAGTTGAAGTAAAAATTTGTAACACATCTGAAGACCATTTGAATATATTTTTCAGTATACAATTTTTTTCAAAAGCTTATAGAAATGTATATCATTGCTGGTCATTTTTTAAATATATAAATTAAATTTGAGTCGTCTATAGATGCATTGTACAGTTATCTAAATTTCACGGGAATGAATAAAAATGTATAATGTTTTCAAATAATTTTAAAACAAGATGAAGTGAAACACCATTGTTGAATATACCGGGTACGATTCAGAGTATGTGTGGGTCCATTAACCTCTGAATTTAGCGCCGCGTCCCCTTGACGCATAATTGTAAGAAATATTTGTGTTAAGGCCTACACAGTAAATGATGATTTTATTTAAAAGTAATTTTATAACAAATAAGAGTAGTTAACAAATATTTTTTAAATGCAGATGTAATATATATGGACAAACTTCACCATTTTCATAGTTGTTTAAAAAAGTATAATTTATGTATTTATTTATGTAAACCACAGAAGCATTGTTACAAAATAATTAATCACAAACCATCCGCATATATTTTTTAAACTTTAATCACGTCTCATATTTTTTAATTTGTTTAGTCTACGATTTTTTTTTAATTTGCCTCAAAATTCTATAAACAACAACTATTACTGCGTGTTAAATCAATTTGTTATTTTTGCGCTATTTGTGATGGAATAAGAATATTCCATCTACGTCGTTTCAATAAAACTAAGAAGCTCGTTAACGGTATCTTGTTCATCAATATCACCTTTGAGCTCGGAGAGCATCAGCATTGAACAAATATTTTTAAGAGGATAATTGCGATACTAACAGAACAGGTCGTTAAACCTTGAACTTGTTTTAATAATAAAAATAAGGAAATAAAAACAAAAACGTACGTTTATCATTTTATAGTAATTTAGTCAAGCATTATAAACAGTCAAGTATATTCCCATAAACACCACAGGAATCAAAAGCCTTTTATTCAAATTAAACACGTAATAAATATCCTATATTAGGCTTTAGTACTCGAAATGAATTTGCATTAAGCTTGCGGGTATACACAAATTGTTCTCGAGTTTGCGCAAATGTATATTGCTCTTATTCGCAACTCACCATCAAAACAGCAATGATTTTGAATGCACATCGCATTAACAAAATGTTATTACTTAAATCAAGCACATTCCACTCTTAATTTGCTAAAAGTACTGTAATGCAAAAAGCGAATACAAGCCTCCGGGAAAACAAAATTGTGAATTTTATCCAATTTTCAGAATTAAAATCAACACCAACTCTCATTCATTTCCATGTTTCGAATATGAATAGGAACCATCCAAATCGATAGAATTATCAGCCTATACAAATTGAAATGCAAGGTGTGTCCAAAAGCATTGGGTTTTACAGTTATATAAACTAACAACAAAGTATATACAGATATCGGATAAAAACTAATAATAGTAATCTACATGCTTTTTTACTGATATTTTTTATCTTCCACAGTCAAGCCCGAATTTTAACATATAGGGAATAAAAGATATAATTGTTTCTCTATAATATTAAACAAAAATTATTTTGTTTTCCTAAAAAATATTCTGAACAATATATTGATTATTAATTAGGCTATTTTAATATTTAACTATTTATATTGAAATATAGTAAATTTCAAACAAGTTTATGAAGCATAATTCTATTATTACTTCCATACCAATTCAATTATTTTTTGTTATATTCTGTCATTTTAAATCGTATTATTATTTATCGACAAGAGAAACAACGAAAAAAATGTAAAAGAAAAAGAAAATTTCAAAAAGTTCTTAAGATGCTCCTTTATATTTCGTTATATTCTCTACTAGTTTTCATATTATGTAATATCAAATAAAAACTTTAATACGAAGTCAAGGAGTAAGTTATTTTATTAACGCTATGTAATATATGCTATAATTTAAGCGATCATAACATCAAAGGTTTGATTTTATCGAGAATCTAATGACGTAAAATGAAAAGCTTCATTTTCTAAATTAAAGCTTGTAAAACACACAACGTACAAACTTCATAACTTCTGATACTCAAAATCAACTTTGCCGGGAGATTAAAAAGGACTATCAATTTCAATGAAT